GTCCCAGCTACTCGGGAGGCTGAGGCAGGAGATCGCTTGAACCCAGGAGACAGAGGTTGCAGTGAGCCAAGATCACACCGCTGCACTCCAGCCTGGGCAACAGAGCAAGACTTCACCTCAATAAATAAACAAACAATCAAATAAATGTATAGATCAATGTAATAAGCGAATTCAAAAATAAACATTCACATTAATAGTCAATTGATTATTAACAACTCAATAGGGAAAGAATGGTCTTTTCAACACATGTTGCTTGGACGACTAGATAACCATATGCAAAAGAATTAAGTAGGACCCCTATCTAAAATCATATAGAAAAAAATGTATATTTTTTAAGTCACAGAAACTTTTATTGGAAAGGAATGAGCTGCAGCTCAGTGACGACCACTGCACGTGACCAAATGGGTGAGGTGGGGGTACAGGTAGGCACCAAGGGCTGGCCCAAGACCAGAGCTAGTGACTGCTGGGGCCTGATTGCAAGGCCTTGGGTCATAGGCCCTTCGGGCTGGTGTGTGTGGGCCCAGTAGAAATACAAAAACTCTGGGCTGGGCGCGGTGGCCACACTGGCACACACCTGTAATCCCAGCACTTTGGGAGGCCGAGGCAGGCGGATTACCTGAAGTCAGGAGTTCCAGACCAGCCTGGCCCATGTGGTGAAACCCCGTCTCTACTAAAAATATAAAATTAGCCAGGCGTGGTGGCAGGCGCCTGTAATCCCAGCTACTCGGGAGGTTGAGGCAGGAGAATCGCTTGAACCCAGGAGGCAGAGGTTGCAGTGAGCCGAGATTGCGCCGTTGCACTACAGCCTGGGCTACAAGAGTGAAACTCTGCCTCTAAATAAATAAATAAATAAATAAGGTGCCTTTTGAATCCCTGGGCTTCTCTAGCCCATTTCCCACCTTCCTATCTCTTCCTACCCCTTCCCTGCTTCCTATCCCTTCCACATCTTCCCCCAGCCCAACACTACACCTGGCTAATTAATTTTTTATTGTTTGTAGAGACTAGGATCTTACTATGTTGCCCAAGTTAGTCTCGAACTCCTGGCCTTAAGCAAACCTCTGGCCTTGGCCACCAAAAGTGCTGAGATTACAGGCATGAGTCACCACATCTGGCCATAAATTTCTTGAATTTTATCCTTCTACTGTGGTTGTGTAAGTCAATATTCTTGTTCTAAGAAAACACAAACTGAAGTATTTTGGGAGGAAGTGTTATAGTATCTGAAGTTTACTCTCAAATATCTGTTTAAAAAGAGAAAAAATAGAATGTTAAATGAAATGTGGCTAATGCTAACAATTGTTGTATCTAGGTAAAATGTACACGCAGGTTTATGGGCTTCAGCTTGCCACTTTGTGTAGTTTGAAATTATTTTAAAAAAGGTTAAAGTAAAACAAACACTGCTGAGTGAACAGCAAATATAGAAATCAACAGCGTTAGCCTGGGTAACATGGTGAAACTCTGTCTCTACAAACAATACAAAAAATTAGCCGGGCATTGTGACTCATGCCTGTAGTTCTAGCTACTTGGGAGGCTGAGGTGGGAGGATTGCTTCAGCCTGGGAGGTGGAGTTTGCAGTGAGCCAGGCCTCACTACACTCTCAGCCTGGGAGACTGAGCGAGACCCTGGCTCAAATAAATAAATATAGAAAAAAAAACCAACTTTCATATATTACAACCAGCTGAAAAATATAATGGAAATATTTTAACACACCATAAAAGAATCTGAAGAGGAAGATATCTTTAGAAAGTACTGACTTGGGCCGGGTGCAGTGGCTTACGCCTCTAATCTCAGCACTTTAGGAAGCCGACGTGGGTGGATTACCTGAGGTCAGGAGTTCGAGACCAGCCTGGCCAATGTGGTGAAACCCCGTCTCTACTAAAAATACAAAAATTAGCTGAGCATGATGGCAGCGGGCACCTGTAATCCCAGCTACTCGGGAGGCTGAGGCAGGAGAATTGCTTGAACACAAGAGGTGGAGGTTGCAGTGAGCCAAGTTCATGCCATTGCATTACAGCCTGGGCTACAGGAGCAAAAGTCCGTCTTAAAAAAAGAAGAAGAAAGTACCAACTTGGCTTAGCTGACTTCCATCTTAGATAAGCCACTTCTTATGTAACTTTGAGAGTTCATTACTTCTGTGTTGTTTTTTTTTTCTGTAAAATGAAGACACTAAAAGTGACATACCTCAGAAGTTTTGAGGTTTAAATAAGCGAACGCACGTAAAGTCCTTAGAATAATGCCTAGCACTCAATAATTATGTACACTGGGAGCATAAAGATTCAGGGCAACGTGAATTGATGCTCTGGGTAGCAAATACATGAAAGGAAGGTATTACTATAGAAAGGTTTAAAAATATACCTAAAGAATACTAGCTGGGCGCGGTGTCTCACACCTGTAATCCCAGTACTGTGGGAGCCAAGGCAGGCAGATTGCGTGAGGTCAGGAGTTCGAGACCAGTCTGGCTAACATGGTGAAACCCTGTCTCTACGAAAAATACAAAAATTAGCGGGGCATGGTGGCACACACTATACACCTGTAGTCCCAGCTACTTGGGAGTCTGAGGCAGGAGAATCACTTGAACCTGGGAGGCAGAGGTTGCAGTGAACAGAGATGGCATCACTGCACTTCAGCCTGGGTGACAGAGCGAGACTGCATCTCAGAAAAAAAAAAAAAAAACTAAAGGACATGTGAATTAATGTTTTCATTTATAAATTTAACATGATTGCAATAAAAATAAATTGCTTTTTTGTTGTTTTTGGTTTTTGTTTTTTTTGAGACGGAGTCTCGCTTTGTCACCCAGGCTGGAGTGCAGTGGCGCGATCTCGGCTCACTGCAAGCTCTGCCTCCCAGGTTCACGCCATTCTCCTGCCTCAGCCTCCCGAGTAGCTGGGACCACAGGCGCCCGCCACCATGCCTGGCTAATTTTTTGTATTTTTAGTAGAGACAGGGTCTCACCGTGTTAGCCAGGATGGTCTCGATTTCCTGATCTTATGATCCGCCTGCCTCAGCCTCCCAAAGTGCTGGGATTATAGGCGTGAGCCACCACGCCCGGCCGATAAGTTGCCTTTTTTAACTAGTCAGTGATTCTCAAGTTCATACAGAAAAATAATAAAAGTTAGCTTTGCTACTAGGAACGATTTGTAAGTTATAACGAATGCTCCGCCGGGCACGGTGGCTCATGCCTGTAATCCCAGCACTTTGGAAGGCTGAGGCAGGTGGATCATCTGAGGTCAGGAGTTCGATACCAGCCTGACCAACATGGTTAGACCCCATCTCTACTAAAAAATACAAAATTATCTGGGCGTGGTGGCACGTGCCTATAATCCCAGCTACTCAGGAGGCTGAGGCAGGAGAATTGCTTGAATATGGGAGGCAGAGGTTGCAGTGAGCCGAGATTGTGCCACTGCACTCCAGCCTGAGCAACAACAGCAAAACTCCATCTCAAAAACAAAACAAACAAACAAACAAAAGAAATATAACCAATGCTCAAGTCCACCCCACGTTGTACTTGCTGGTAGACCATGTTAGATTTAGTTCTTCAGTGGGGTAACTTCTGATGACCAAACTTGGCAGTGGGGTCCTGCACTCCAGCCTGGGCAACAAAGTGAGACCCCATCTCAAAAAAACAAAAAACAAAAACCACAAAGAAATCACTGGATAGCATCTTCTTGGGTTATTACATATCATGCAGATATCTTTTCCAATTCTCCCCATGATATTATGAAATACATTTGTTCTTAGTCACCATTTCCTGTCATATAGCTCCTAGAATCTTCGAAATCTCTGGAGTGATAACTTTTGTATGCTAATGCTGGCTGGGGGCTCCAAGATAGCCTCAGGATGTGGGCTGGTTGCCAGGAGAAACCACCAAGTGACTGGAGGGTTGAAAGTTTCACTCCCATTCCGGAACCTCGGGGAAGGGACAGGGGCTGAAAGTTGAGTTGATAAACCAATGGCCAGTGATGTAATCAATCATGCCAACCTAATGAAGCTTCCCTAAAAACACAAAAGGAGTGAGTTCTGAGGGCTTCTGGATAGCTGCACACATGGAGGCTCCTTAAAGGTGGTTCACCCTGCTTGTCTTTTCTCCTGTACCTCGCCCTATGCACCTCTTCCATCTGGCTGTTCATCTGTATCCTTTGTAATATCCTTCACAATAAGTAAGGTGTGTCCCTGAGTTCCAAGTCACTAGAGCAAATTAATCAAACTCAAGCAAGGGGTCGAGGGAACCCTGATTTGTAGCTGGTCAGTCAAAAGCACAGGTAAGACAACCTGAAGCTTGTGATTGGCATCAGAAGTACAGGCAGTCTTGTGGGACTGAGCCTTCAACCTGTAAGATCTGGAGTTATTTCCAGGTAGATAGTGCTGGAATTTAATTAGACACCCAGCTGATATGTAAGGGCAGAATTGCTTGCTTGGAGGCCAGGCACCATGGCTTACACCTGTAATCCCAGCACTTTGGGAGGCCAAGGAGGGCAGATCATCTGAAGTCAGGAGTTTGAGACCAGCCTGGCCAATATGGTGAAACCCTGCCTCTATTAAAAATACACAAGTTAGCCAGGAGTGGTGGCAGGCACTTGTACTCCCAGCTACTCAGGAGGCTGAGGCAAGAGAATCGCTTGAACCCAGGAGGTGGAGGTTGCAGTGAGCCAAGATAGTGCCATTGCACTCCAGCCTGGGCAAGAAGGGCGAAACTATCTCAGAAAACAAAACAAACAAAAAATAATTGCTTGCTTGGTGTGAGGACCCCTGCATATTTCCTATCAACAACATAGGAAGCTCCACTTCTGTTCTATCTCCTTCCAATTTTCCCATCTCTAATGGGAAGCTGATATTTGCAAATATCTGTGCCTATGTTTCCAGTCTCACCCATATGTACGATGAAGTTTCTTCCCAGTGGGAAGATATCACAAAATATTAGAATGCCAGATATTTACATTCTAGGAATGTAATGATAAAACTATTGATCGTCTAATTGTTAGCAAGAATAAGAAAATCAAGAACAATTTTTAAAAGGTACTCAAATGTCAACTTTATTGTTTCTATATAAACACCTTTTTGTACTGAAAACTGTAAAAATAACAAAGTGTGCTGTGATTGCAATCCAAATTTTTGAAAGCCAGAAAATCTAGTTATTATGCTATAGCCAAACTACCTAATGCTTTCTTTATCCACAAGTAACTTTGCTTCAATCTCTTGATGTTGGGTTTCATCTCACTGACTTTGGGCTTCTAAGACACATGGGAATACTTATGTCGTCTTTGGGTCAAATCAAACAGTAGAGCTAAAGTTATTCAAATACATTCAAATGACACAGATCCCTTACAAATTACTAGTATCACAGTAGGAAGAAAAAGATACAAGAAGAAAAATACATCCTAGAACTCACTAATATTGTTGGTGTATAGTCTATACTAGCATAGAGTAGCTTTCACAACCTGCTACATAAAATTACCAGCAAGAAGAAAAAGGTGCAAGAGTAAGTTTTATGGCTGAAGTGGCTTGGTGTCGTAATTCCCTATTCTAGCATTCTCAGAAGGATCCCATCCATTGGACACGCAGAAACTGCAGGGACATTTGAATGGTCTTGATTCCTTCTGAAAAAAAATGATGAAATGGATTAATCAGAATATTGTACCTCAGAGAAATGTAATAAACCCTCAACTAGAATGTTGTTTATTTGGGTAAGTGTTGGAACGGGGAACTCACACAAAAAGGGCATAGAAGCCAAAAGCAAAACATTTTAGGAGACAAAAAAGAGGGAGGGTGGAAATATGGGTATCACAGAATGGCAGCTTGCGGGTCATTTTGTAATGGTAACAAGTGCAGATGGTCAATAAAACATTCTGGTCTCCGTTCTCTGAATGCCTTAAATGTAACTCATTCTGCTGCTAGACACGCTGCTGAAGCATTTGTCCTCTCACTATGCCGTGCTACCGCGAAGATATCTGTGACAGCACGTGAAAGTATAAACCTAACACCAAGAGTGACCCCTAGTGTAAACTATGAACTCTGGATGATAATCCTGTCAGGGTAAATTCATCGGCTGCCAAGTGTGCAATTTTGGTGTGCGACGTTGACAGTAAAGGCGGCATGTGTGGGGGAAGGGCATATATCGGAACTCTACACTTTGCTCAATTTTGCTATGAACGTAAAACTGCTCTGAAAAATAAAGAATTTTTTTTTTTTATTATTTTTTGAGACGGAGTCTGGCTCTGTTGCCCGGGCTGGAGTGCAGTGGCCGGATCTCAGCTCACTGCAAGCTCCGCCTCCCGGGTTTACGCCATTCTCCTGCCTCAGCCTCCCAAGTAACTGGGACTACAGGCGCCCGCCACCTCGCCTGGCTAGTGTTTTTTTGTATTTTTTAGTAGAGACGGGGTTTCACCGTGTTAGCCAGGATGGTCTCGATCTCCTGACCTCGTGATCCGCCCGTCTCGGCCTCCCAAAGTGCTAGGATTACAGGCTTGAGCCACCGCGCCCGGCCAAGAATATATTTAAAACTACAAACATGAATTGACTTATCCAGGGCTCCTGGGGATTCAGAAAGTCCAAGCAAATTCCCTATTCCGACAAAAGGAAACAAACCAGATAGATACCCATCCACATATATAGCCAAAAAGAAAAAGAAAAAAAATTATACTTACCCTAACTCCCTTAAGCCCAGTGTTTGTTAGTATTCTTTGATGCTTCATGGGAAGAAAAAAATATGTTTATTGAAACCTCTATCAAGAAAAAGATTACTAATATTACACATCAATATAAGGGAGAGAAACTAGGGAATTTGTTTGTTATTGAGACAGGGTCTTTCTCTGTTGCCCAGGCTGGATTGCAGTGGAGTAATCGTATGGCTCAACTGCAGCCTCAACCTCCCAGATCAAGTGTCCAGCTGTGTCAGCCTCGCCACCCGCCACAGGAGCTGGACTTAGCAGGCACGTACGCTGACACCCAGCTAATTAATTTTGTTAGAGATGTGTTGATTTTATTTTAATCTTTTTATATTGCGCTAGGCCGGGCCGGGGTCTGGAATCGTGAGCTCGCATGTGCTACTCCCAATCTCAGCCCTTCCAAGGTGCCTGGATTCACAGACACTCGAACTGTGGGGGAGTCTTTTTTGTTTTTGGACGGTTTCGCATCTTTGTTGGCCCAGGCTGGGCAATGCCAATCTCGGCTCACCCACCCCGTCTGGCCCTCCAGTTCAAGGATTCTCCTGTCTCAGCCTCCGGCGTAGCCTGAGATTACAGGCTGCCCGCTACCAGGCCTGGCTACTTTTTATCCATTTTTAGTAGGAGGAGCAGGGTTTCACCAGTGTTGGCCAGGCTGGGTTCTGGGGCCTCTGCCTCGCAGGTGACCCACCTGGGCCTCAGCCTCCCAGAGTCTGGATTACAGGCCTCAGCAGCTGCACTGGCCAGAGGCTAGGGGGTCTTATATTAGGTCTACACGTTTATGGAGTGGTCACTTCCTGGGAATCGGGCAGGCCCGCGCCATCATATCAACATACCGTTACGACTCTGCCGAGTAACATGTATCTGTCTTGCCCCTTTTCTTTCTCTCTGCCACAGACAGCGCCAATGTTCTACTCTCCTCCTGTAAATCAAGTCAATCGGTCTGATGCGCCTTTCCCTGAGCGACTGGTGGCTTTGCAGCAAATGCCTCTATCACGTCGATGGGAGTGGAATCTGTGCTGATAGAGGGGGAAGGGGATTCGGTTACTGGCGTTGATAGTCAAGTTAGCTAAGGTTCTTTATCAACGTCTCGAACGATCTAGGGCCCCTGCAAGAGAGGTTAAAAACTTACATTTTTTAAGGGAGCTTCGAATTCACACTTCAACTAGGTCGTGCCCTTAAGCAGGGGAACAGACAGGCTGTGTTGGGAATTTCTCAGGAGTGGAAGCTTACAGTACACCAATGGCACAACCTCTGTCTTTTCTCAAAAAAGAAAAGTTAGCCTGGTGCGGGTGGTCACACCTGTATCCAGCACTTTTGGGAGGCCGAAGCGGGCAGATGCCCTGAGACCAGGACCTGACCAATCATGGAGAACACTCATCTCTCCTAAAAACTCAAAATTAGCTCAGGCGTGGGTGTGCATGGTCTGTAATTCCCAGTACTGGGGAGCTGAGCCAGGAGAATCTTGCTTCGACAGTAAGTGAGGTTGCAGTCTGACCCGATTGTGCGCCATTGCACTCCAGCCGCCCGGCAACAAGATGCAAAACGCGTCCTGTGCTCAATAAAAGGCAAGAAGACGTGGCGGGCGCAGTTGGCTTCAAGCCTGTAATCCCAGCATTTGGGAACCGAGGGGGGGTCGCGAGGTCAGGGAGATCGAGACCTCCTGACTACCCGGTGACAACCCGCATTCTACTGAAACAAATACAAAAAGCTGGCCGGCGAGGGTGGCGGGGCGCCTGTGTGGTCCTGCTCGTCGGGAGGCGGAGGCAGAGAATTGCGGTAAAACGGGAGGTGGAGATGCGCAGTGAGCGGGGATCCGGCCACTGCACTCCAGCCTGGGGGACAGGGCGAGACGCCTCCGCTCAAAAAGAAAAAAAAAAAAAAAAAAAAAAAGGCGGGAAGTCAAGGCAGGAAGAAATCACTTGTACAGAGGCACATGGTAACACGGTTGACCCTTGAACAACACAGGTTTAAACTGTGGGTCCCACTTACACGAGAATTTTTTCCAACCAATCACAAAATTCGAAATCCCCACACACATTGTTAACTTTTCTGAAGGTTTCTCAGGGCCCACTGTGGCACTTGATTACTCACAGATCTTGGGGATGCCCTGGAACCAATTCCCAGATTATAACCGAGGGATGACTGCAATCCCTTGGTCTCTAAACTGTTATTTTTTGAAACAGGGTCTCACTCTGTCACCCAGGCTGGAGTGCAGTGGCACGATCATGGCTCATTGCAGCCTCCAACTCCCAGGCTCAAGCGATCCTCCCACCTCAGCGTCCAGAGTAGCTGGGACTACAAGCGTGTGCCACACCCTGCCCTGAGCTACCTTTTACTGTTCACTTACACTTAAGAGATCCACTGAGTATCTCACAAGCATTACCTACTGTGCATTCTGTGGAATCTTGTGAAACAGACAAGAAAAACCCATATACTATTTTCTCCCAGAATCCTCATCCTTAAGCAAAACTGGGCAGTCGAGGCGGCTGTTACCCTATCCAGTTAGCCCTAATTTAGTTGCCCAGCTCCTTCACGGTATTAGATCTCCTCACTCAAACTCAATTATTTTGGGAAATCAACCACTCATTCTTCCTTTCTCATCCGAACTGCGATGCGTATCCCATACATACGCATATCTCATATAATAAGACGGTTATCGTTAACTGCCCCCTGTATATGTGTTTTGTTTTGTTTTTTGCCCTCTATATGTGAAAGTATTAAACAATATCAAAGTTTGAGATCGATTCTCAAAGTCTAGGGACCTGTGCACATAGAAACGAGGATCCTTTGTGGAACTGTCAGTTACTAAGACGCAAGGAAAGGGAGAGACTGGGGATACGTTAATTCATTTTTCTTTCCCACTCGGATATATGGACCAGCATTCTTTCTTCTGGACGCAGGGGACACAGACAGGATCAGGCGCACGGGGCGCCAGCGGCCCAGTTCCCAGACCTCCTGGCATCGGGGAGTCGCGGGTGTTGGCTCCAGGGTTTCTGCCGCCACCACCCTAGACACCCAGCCCCGCTGTCAGGGTCGTAAATAAGACTTCAAACCACGTGGAAGGCTTCTGTGGCCAGGCCCGCGCTTGGGTGCTGCTGTAAGAAAGGAGTTCCTCCACCGGAAGACCTGGCCTATCAGGGAGCAGAATTACCGGAGCAGTTTCTAGGTAAGCCGCCCTCCGGTGTAGGTCCTGCTACTAATTTACATTACGGAGCACGTTTACAGCCTCTGCCTTCCATTTCCCCGATAAAGCTGCTGGTCTGTTTATTAACATTCCTGAAGGGTACATTTAGCTGGAAAGCCAGTCTCAAAAATATTGGCTTAGAGCCCGGCCTCGGTGGCGCACGCCTGCAGTCCCAGCTGCGCAAGAGGATGGCCTGAACCCAGGTGTTCGATAGCAGCCTGGGCAACATGGAGAGCCCCACTGTCAAAAAAATAAATAAATAACTAAATAATAAAAATAGGCCGCGGGCGGCGGCTCACGCCTGTAATCCCAGCACTTTGGGTGGCCGCGGCGGGCGGATCACGACGTCAAGAGATCGAGGCCAATCTGGCTAACACAGTGAAACCCCGTCTCTACTAAAAAGCAAAAAATTAGCCGGGCGAGGTGACGGGCGCCTGTAGTCCCAGCTACTCAGGAGGCTGAGGCAGGAGAATGGCGTGAACCCGGAAGGCAGAGCTTGCAGTGAGCCGAGATCGCGCCACTGCACTCCAGCCTGGGGACAGAGCGAGACTCCGTCTCAAAAAAGAAAAATTTTAGGTTCAACTTAAGTTTAAGTTTCTCATATTCTTTCATTTTTTTTTTTCCTATCTTTTATTTGGTCTCTGTATTTGTTCCTTTTTACCGTTCCTGACATGTGTTGCTGCGGGGGTAGATGCTGATGCAACCACGCTATGAGCCGCGTTTTGTGATTCCAATTATTTCTCCCCAGAAACTGGTCTTAGAAATCTGAAGTACTCCTAAGCATAGTGAATAAAATAATACAATTCTCACCACCACCATCACCGCTTTTAAAATAAAGTCTTTGACCTCTGTGTTTTCTCACTGGAGGAAGCTGGACTCCCTCTGGTTTGAGGTTTACTTAAATACATTCCTCTTCCAAAGACTGAAGTCAACATTAAAAAAAAAAAAAAAAAAAAGACGGCAGCCTTTTGACTTCCCAACCCCGCTATAGTCTTACAGTCAAGAAGGGCATTATCTGACTTACCTGAATCATCCCGAGAATTTTCTTGGGTCAGCATTTGTGAAGACTCTGGGATGGAGGTTGGACCAAACTGCTGTGATGGGTCCATCTGCGTCTTGAACACTAAGCTTCTCCTGGATCTTTGAAACCAAGCAGAAACTGACGACTGACCCTCAAATTGCTACAAGGTAGCCCGGAAAGAGGCTGAAAACCCGAGCTCCAACGAATGGTCAAAGAACCGACGTAAAATGTAGGTCCGGCTTCCTCTTAAAATACAGATAAGCCAATCTTCCAGGATATTTGAATGTTAATGATCCAATGATTAGAGGATTAAGGGGTCCAAATGATTAAAGGTTAAATGGGCGTAGTTTAAATGGATTAAATGGGCGTAGTTTAGACTAGTAGGGTAGTTCTTCATCTGCTTTGCATTAAAATAATATGTCCTATGTCATATCTGCTAGAAAATTTATAAAACGCCTCTCTTTTCGTTGTTCTGTCTCCCTAAGGTTGCCTTACATATAAGTTGTTTTTTTCTTGCTGTTTTTTGTTTTCCCAAACTCTACTCCTGAAGATGGCTTCTGTTTTGTGAACTGGGCTTAAGTGTTCTAGTGTAGAGAGGAGAATGGCAGTTTTTACCGCCCCCACCCCACCACCACCACTGCCCATAAACTCCCAATTAAGCTAAGAAAGTTTCCTTTAAGTTTTCCTTGCCTAAATCATCTTAAACCTTTGCTGTTACGAAGAAGAGAGGAAAAATGAACAAGTATCTGTTATGAACACTTTCATAGCTTGATATTTTAGGGACATGTATTTTTTATTTGTTTCATAAACTATAAACCTAATAGTACTTAACATTTCTGAGCAGCTGAAATTAACTAAACTTACAAATTGCTACTCCTTCCCCACCAAAAAATGCTTGTATTCCTAGCAAAGCACACCAACATTTAACCACTGATTGTCTACAGGAGGTGGAAGAACAAGTCCCCAGCTGCCCCGCTCATCTTTTTCCCTCTTACTCAAATATGCACCCTCCCCCATTCCCTCTCTAGGTGGAAACCATGAGAAAATACTCAAAGGCAATCTTGTTTGGGTTTGGTAAAAAGCAAAAATTGAAGTTATGATTTAAGAAATATTTTCATAGAGAATGAGATGACATGATATAGACTGTGTCTCACACTTTATGCCAGTGATTCTCAAAGTTGTGGTCTCAGGGAATGGCCTTAATCACCCAGGAGGGGGTGGATTGCAGAACCTTGATCATGGAACTGCATCCAGCTGGGGAGGGGGTTGGGGCAGGGCAGGACGCTGCCTTTTCAAAAAAAAAAAAAAAGGTGCCGGCTACACAAGCACCTTAGTTGAACTTAGATACGACAATTCTGAGCCCCGCTCAGGTCCTGTACTGAATCAGACTGGGGGGCCAGCTTGGTCAATGCTTTACAAGGCCTCCCAGGCAATGCTTGGCACTTAGGCAGAACACCCAGAAGTCCCCAGGTGGATTTGATGGGTGCTTCAAGCTTCAGCGCCCGTGCTTTATGGCACTGTGACATTTCTACTGGGGTTCAGGCTTTGGGCTCATCTGTCATGCCTGGGAGTCTCTCTGATATCAGTCCCCCCCCAGATTCCACTGGAGGATAAATACAAAAAGTCCCGTGCAGGGGGTTGTAGGGATTAGGTGTGGAACAAAGGGCCCTCGCCACCCTCGCCTCCCTCCCCCCCTGTTTATAAAAAAACTTAGGCTGGGCAGTGGCTCGCGCCTGTAATCCAGCACCTTTGGGGAGGCTGAGGCAGGTGCCGACATTCGCTTGAAGCCGGGAGGTTCAGGGACTAACCTGGCAACATGGTGAACCAGTATCCTAAATAAACAAAAAGTTAGGGGCCGCACGTGGGGGTTCCGGGGCCTGCTATGTGATCCCGGTTTTGGGGACTGAGGCGGGGGACGGATCGCAAGGGGTTTTTTTCCCGGGGATCGAGACCATCTCTGACTCACATGGGTGAACACCATCTCTACTAAAATTACAAATTGCTGGGGAGTGGTGCCGGGCGGCTGTGCAGTCCAGCCCTTGGGAGGCTGAGGCAGGAGAACTGGCGTGCAACCCGGGCAGAGCTGCGGTGATTAGCCGATGATCGCGCCGCGACTCCAGCCTGGGTTAGGTTGCAGACTCTGTCTCAAAAAGGAAAAAAATAAAGCTCCATCTCAAAGAAAAATTAACAATTAGGCCAGGCATGTGGCCTTCACCTGATAATCGAGTGTACGTACCCAAGAGTTGTGGGAAAAGAGGAGGTAGATTTTTTTTTTTTTTGTGTTCAGTGGAGCGAGATTGCCCACTTCACTGCACCTGGTGACAGAGCTACAAAAAGTAAAAATAAAAGAAGAACCAATTAGGGAAGGATGGGAACCAAATTGAAATATGTTATACTCATAAGGAGAGAAAAAGACCCAAAAAAAAAGAATGCCTAAAAAAAAATTTCATTACACTTTGCCTCTAGTGTCAGTAACGGTTGGCTCATGCGCGAACTCAGATTTGGGGGCCAGCTGGTGGATACCTGAGGTGGGAGTTCGGAGCGGCCCGGCAACATTGGTGACCCCATGCTCTACTAAATTACAAATTTGCAGGCGTGGGTGGGCCACGCCTGCTGAGGTCAGCTACTCTGGAGGTTGGAGGCGGAAGATTGCTTGACCCAGGAGGGCCGAGTTGCCGCGTACGCTGATCATGCGTGTTGCCTCCCCCGCTGGCGACAAGAGTATAAATCATTGAAACAAAACAACAAAAAAACTTTCCCTATAGAAATACACAAGGGCTGGGCACGGTGGCTCAAATGCCTGTAATCCCAGCACTTTGGGAGGCCAAGGTGGGCAGATCACTTGAGACCAGGAGTTTGAGACCAGCCTGGCAAACATGGTGAAACCCCACCTCTGCTAAAAATACAAAAATTCGCCAGGCGTGGTGGCAGATGCCTGTAGGCCCAGCTACTCGGGAGGCTGAGGTGAAAGAATCGGTTGAACCTGGGAAGCAGAGGTTGCAGTGAGCTGAGATCACGCCACTGCACTCCAGCCTGGGCGACACAGTGAGAGACTCTGTCTCAAAAACGAAAACAGAAAGAAAAGAAATACACAAATACCCCCCAAAAGCCATCCAAACCAAAGTTTAAAGTGGGTGCTTCCAGGAAAAAGAAAACAAAGAATGCAGCATAGGACGGCAGTTGGGACATGTGTCTGTTTTACGAAACTTAGAACTACTTGCTACTTTATAGTATATGCACATACAACTTTTTGAATTTAAAAAAAGCCGGGGGAAAAGGGGGTAAAGGGGCCAGGCATGGTGGCTTATGCCCATAATCCTAGCACTTTGGAAGGCCAATGGAGGGGCAGATCACTCGAGGCCAGGAGTTTGAGACCAGCCTGGCCAACGTGGAAAAACCCCGTCTCTACTAAAAATATAAAATTAGCCTACAAATTAAATTACCGGGCATGGTGGGCGCATGCTTGTAAATCAGCTCCTTGGGAGTCGATGTGTGGGAGAATCCCTTGAACCAGGGAGGGGGAGGTGCAATGGGACCTAGATGGGCCCACTGCACTTCAGCCTGGGCACGACAGAGCAACACTCCGTTATCAAAAAAAAAAAAAAAGGCCAGGAAGACAGAGGAGGTAGGAAACAAAGAAAAAAATGGGGGAGAAAACAAGTTCATTCAGATGTAAGAACACCAAGCAAGTGAGAGAAGCGGGAGACACAGGGAGCCAGATGAAATGGTAGGGAAATCCATAAAATATTCAACTGCAAGAGTCTGGAGAGTAAATGAAATTATTTTTAAGTGGTTTAATAATACATGGAGCCAAACAAAAGGGGTTGGCGGTGGCTCAAGCCTGTGAATCCCCGCACTTTTGGGAGGCCAGACGGCGGGATCCACCGAGGTCAGGAAAAGAAGTCGATGACCATCTGGCTAACACGTGGAAATCCCCGTCTCTCAACTAAAACATACCAAAAAAACTAGCCCGGGCGAGGTGCAGGGCGCCTGTTAGTCCCAGCACTGGGAGGCTTGAGGCCAAGGAAGAATGGCGTGGAACCCTGGAGGTGGACTGCCATGAGCTGAAGATCCGGCCACCTGCCCACTCCCAGCCTCGGGCGACCAGAGGCGGAGGACCTCCTGTCCTCAAAAAAAAAAAAATACATGGAAAAGTAGAACCTGTTAAAAAGTCATAAATTCAGTTTTAAGAAGTCCTGGGGGGGGGGCGGGGGGTTTTTAATGGTATAGAGGAAACAGGGCTGGGCCTGGTGGCTCAATTCCTATAATTCCAGCAACCTTTGGAGCGGAGGTCGGAGGATCTCTTGAGCCCAGGAAGTTGAGGCCCAGCCCTGAAACACAAAGCGAGTGCAAGGCTCCACCAAAAAAATGTAAAAAATTAAGCTTGGGGCTGATGGCCACAGACCTGTGGCCCCCTATATGGTACCCATTAGGGGTCCACTGGGGCAGGAGGATGGCTTGAGATGGCTGGAGCTCCAGGAGTTGAAAGGCTGCAGTGGCTATGATTCGGGCACATTGCACTCAGCCTGGGCCACAAGACACCTGTCA